TTCTCTAAAGGCTTTATTCTCTTCAAGTAATGATAACATTTTATTACGTTTTATCTAGTCTTCATTAATCACCTTATTCTACACCAAAGAAGAGCCCCTTTTAAGAAAGATCCTTTTTCTGAATCACACCAAACAAAATTTGACAGAGGTGATTTTCGGCTATCTTTTAAATTGAATAATAAAATTTACTGTAAAAGCACTTAGCCAACATTCAGTGCTATAATGCCAAATCATAGCGGCAATAGTAACTTTGCTTGCCTGCAGAGTGGATGCTTATTCTCAAATCATTTGACTCAGAAGACATTAATATTTAAAACAGGAAAGTGGAAAAAAGATACTTTCATTAGCTCTTACCAAAAGTTTCTAATAAGAAGTGACAGGCACTGTGTTGCTGTGGCTTCTCCAGAGGGTGTTAAGAGACTTAGTCTGTGGAGGCTGCAGCTGATCATTGATTTATCATTCCCCAAACCTTTCTTTTCCCCTAATGGGAATAACTGTACCACGAATAAAGTTAAATGGCCACTTAGTTCATATTTAGTCACTATGAAGCAGCAATACTAGGCATGAAAAAGATCCTAACAAAGTATTGGTCCTTTAAAGTCTTCTCAACCTACCTTGCCAGCCTACTGTAAAAATATATTCTAAATGTCCAAGAGTAGAGACTGAGACCAACACTGTAAAATAGATCCAGGGAGAAGATGATAGTAAGTATGGAAGAGGTATGGTTGACCTATTAATGATTTAAGTTTATCCCATGCTTGAAATTACTTTCCTTAATAGTCACAGGACATGTACTCCATTCCAATGTAGGAAGCCCTAATCTACATTCTTTCCTATCAGGTATCAGAACTACACTTGGATTGTGTTGTCTAATTAGTTGTTTGATATACATTATCCCTCCATAGTTAGTAAATGCGATTGAACATAATCTACCTGACTAGAGCAAAAATTCCATCTTACTAACACAGGATGGGTACTGAAGTGTATTAGGTAATTGATATACCAAGGGGATGAACAGAAAGAGCAAACTAGATCCTTAGCCTCTCAACTAGATCATGAGAAAACTGTGATTATTCTGTGCTATGCATCTCAAAATTAACAGCTAGTATCTTTCTGTCCTTATGTATTATAAACAATGTTCCAAACTATGTACCAACTTCATATCAAATGCTTGCACTTTCTCCATTAACAGTCTCTGCTCTTCAGTTCTTTCAAATTCTTCCTCTGGTTGGGGACCCTTTTAGTTCTTTAGATATACTCTAGCTGAGACATAGCTCAGTGATAAGACACTTGTCCAATGAACTCAAGGCATATAGTTCCATACCTAACACAGAAAAGAAAAATAAGGATAAACTCCAATGGATCCCTTTACAATCTCTCTATTTTGTTTTTGAAATTAATAATAATTTCTTCCTTCACTTTCTTCCTTCTAATCTCTCCCATATACCTACTTGCATTTATGTGAATGTACATGCATATATATATATATATATATATATATATATATATATACATATATATCCAACTAAATAACAATTTCAGTCTACATAGGGCATAGGACAACCAATTGGTGTGCACTACTCTGGGGAAGATCACCTTCCACATTTCTAGCTTTCCTCAGTTGTCTAAAGTTCTTTGTTTTGGGTTGACACCTCATGGGGTTTTCTCAATACACTTTGGCTTCTACTTTGGAAATATGATTCTCAGGTTGTTTTTATCATTCACAAGTGGAAAATTAACATCTCTGATAATTTGAATGAAAATGGTCCCCATAGGCTCAGGGAGAGGCACTATTGGGAGGTGTGGCCTAATTGGAGGTGGGATTTAGGGATTCAAAGCCCAACCCAGGCCTAGTGGCACTCTCTCTTCCTGCCAGTTGGGATGTAGATAGACCTCTCAGCTATCACTCCAGCATCATTTCTGCCTGCATGATGCTATGCTCCCCAACATGATGATGGACAAAACCTCTGAACTGTAAGCTTGACTCAATTAAATGTTTTCCTTTATAGGAGTTGCCATGGTCATTGGGGTGTCTTCTAAGCAATTAAACCCTAACTAATACATCATCAGACCTGAAATTGTAACTGTTAGAGGAAAAAGTAAGAAATCCACTTTAAGATATGTGCATCGGCAAGGATTTGACAGAAACCAAGTCATTCATGAAATAAGGTCAGCCTCTAATAACTAGGACATAATGAAATTCATGTTTCAGCACAGATGAGTAAACAATTACTAGACTGAAGCAAGCCTATTGAACCAGAGATAGTTTGGGTAGCCATTTTAGGATTAATGTCTAACATACACAAAGAACACACAAAAAAGTAAACAAGAAATTGAATGATGTTATCAATAAATGGACTAATGAAGTAAATAAATAATTCTCAAAAGATGAAATGGAGTCAACAAACAAACAAAGAAAATGTTCGACCTTACTAGGCTTCCAAGAATAACATATATGTATATGTATGTATATGTATATATATGTATATATACACATATATGTGTGTGATATGTATGTATATATGTATATGATGTATATGTATGTATATATAACAACAATTAAAGAAAAAGAGGCCATGAATTTGGATACAAAGGAGAGATGTACATGGTAGGTGATGAAGAGAAGACATTTCAGAAAGTGGAAAAATGATATAACTATATCGTAATCTCAAAAAGTTTTAAAATATATTTTTAAAACTATAGTGAGGCTATATTTAGCCACAGTCAGAACGGTTAAATAGACTAAAACAACTAATAACAGAAGTGATAGTGAAGGTGTGGACACAAAGGGGCCCCATGTAACTCTGCTCACACGTAAACTAGTCCAGCCACCATGGAGGTTAGAGTGGAAGGGCCTCCAAAAGTAAACATTGATCTTCTCTATGACCTAGTTATACCATTCCTGAGTGTTTACTCAAGTCAAATCATAGAAATTCGTGCACATCAGTGTTTATCAAAGCACTCTTCACAATAATCAAATTTTGGACTGATGTAGTGTTCACAACAGAGTAAAGAATAATGTAAATATTTTACATATACAGAATGGAATACTTTTTAACCATAAAGAAGAATAAAAGTCATGTATCCGTTGGAAAGTTAATGCAACTGGAGATGATCATTTTAAAGCAATTTAATCAACATCTGAAAGACAATGAGTATGTGCTTTCTCTCCTCCATGGTGGTTCCCAGATTTTATAGAGATACACAGTCATGTGTATACATATGACATGAAGCAGAACTAAAGTTGTCTAGGAGAGCAAAGCATATTAGTGGGAGGCGAAGGGAGGAAAAGGCTATGAACAGGAAGAGTAGAGACGTATGAAATGGAGACTGCTCAGCATAAATGTACACTTATAAATCTTTAAAATTATTTGTTTTTTTTTAAAGGGAGGTTTTCAATACTCCCACAGTGCCTGAGTGTTCTTGCCATTGTTATAAGTGACATAATTGACAAATACTCAATGCTACTTATTCTTAAAACACTTATTGATGCTGCCCTGATTACATCCCAGTATCTAAAAACTTGCCTACTTTCTCTTCAATGCATTAACATCTTTTGTCTTTATAACCCGTTAGCTTTCTAAATCTCAACTCCTCCAAAGCATTCTCCACAATACAATCATTAAGTATGTTTATCTCATTAATTTAGCTGCCTATTAAATTGGCACTGTGACTTTTGTCTTCAAGTATTTTCATACAGCAAAACTTAACATATACATGCCATTCATATATATCATGAAAGCTCAAATACACTAGACTTCTAATTTCCTTTGAGATAATAAACCATGGAATAAATTAATATTATATATTTTGAGCAAGGTTTTCATAACATTGGTTTCAAATATCTGATTCTAAACATTGTTATTTTCATTGCCATTCATGAAAAAAAGAATTAAAACAAATACTCATTCACAAATCTGTGTTCCTGGTCTTCATGTCCAAATTTTAAGACTGAATTGTGCCAATTTTGTGATTTACTGATGCATACAAAAGACATTATGTTTGACCTAAAGCCCTCACAGAAGCTGTAAGGTAAAACAATGGAAAGCAAAATAATGGATGATAATTTGTGAATATCAATATCATAGTCACAAGATATACCAAAAATCTCATAATCCTAAGGAGGAAAAAAAGTAATAAAAACAAGCCAAAAGTGATCAGAAGGTAATGAACTTCATAAAAATTTTGCTAACTGGAATTAGCCTGATATATTCAGACTTGGTGGTTCACATTTTAATCCCAGCATTTGGTAGTCTGAGGCATACATATTACCCTCAGTCTTGACAGCAGGAGTTCAGGCTGGCCTACTGAGTGAAATCTTATCTCAAAAGTCCAAAAGATATGGAAAAACAAAATCCAGCTTATGAAGAGTCCAAGTTATCAAATTCTTACAATATGAGTATTCTGTGAATATCGACAAACTAATTTATTTTCTATGGTTCCTGGTGGGATTCAACTCCTAAATATGTAATTGTAGACTATAAAGCTATTCAAGGCTTTATTTAATTCAATTCAAATTATTGACTTTCTGCTACTTTGGACATTCCAGACTCACCAAAGCCTCACTAGCTCCTTCCTCTGTAATGTAACCTCACTCCTGGCTTTGCTCCTCTGATATATTGTGTATCCCACCACAAGCTAGTTCTTTGATGGATGATTCTTATCTCTACATCAAGAACCACCACATGCTTGTCAGGTACTTGAAAGAAGACAACCCGTCCGCCCCACTTTTAACACCCTCAACACTTTCTGCAGTTCCTCTGGGTGTGTACTTGCTCAATAAAAGGTCTGATCAACAAGTGACTAAGGTCCCAAAATCCCATCCTCTTCTCCAGGAAACCTCTGAAAGCACCTCTATGGTGGAGCCATGCTTGCACAGACTCAAAGGCATAGAAAGCACCACAGAACACACGCTTTGCCTGCCAAAGTTTCTAAGGCTCCAAATGCGATCTATTTAATCAGGTAAAGAAATACCAATCCCCATGCATGAGAAGACCTACCTCCGCAAAGGGCACGACAAGGAACCCCAAGCCACAACACCTGAGAGCATGTGCTGCCTGAGGGGACCAAGGGCCTGAGAGAACAGAGAGCTGGTAGATGCTACACAAGCCTAGGGCTCCTGAGAAGGAAGGACGCCCTCAGGCGGCGGGGGAAGCTCGGGGGGCCGGAATTCCGGATCATGCACGCGGATGCAAGCGCAGCCCGCAGGTAGGCGCCAGAGCCCTGAGCGCTACTCCTCCCGGCTTTCTTCTAGTGCCAATCAAGAGGGAGGCCCGCGGAGACCACAAGTCCCAGAAGCCTCTGCGCCACTCGCCTCGGGCCTCGGGAAGGCTCGTGTGGGCTCGACGAGGAGGCTCAGTGCGTGTTTGGCGGGAATAGACCAGAGTTCCCTGCATCTTGGCTCCTTCTGCAAGGTTCAAAATTGTCTATGACAGCCTGCAGCTCCTCTGCTGAGAGACGGACACCCTGGTTAGTTTCTAAGGAGAGAGCCACGAGGCTTGCTAGCCCAAAAGACCTGGACCTTGAAGAAAAGGAAAGTCTCAGGAAAGCTTCTGTTTTGCCAACTTCTACATGGTAACAGTTGGGAATACAGATTCTTTGGGTTCATTTGTTGGCTTGTTTCCAAAACTGTTTTTAAAATTTTTACTTCTTGCGGAAGGAAGCACTATATTTCTCGTTTGTCCACCTATCATATCTTATCTAAGATTTTATTTTTGCCTCACAGAATTCCCTCAGAAACTAAAAAGTAGATTCTACGCATTCTGAAGGCACTTCTGTAGTCTTTACTAACAATGTGCTAATTTGCTAATAGTTCAAAGTTTCAACAATTGTATAGAATACATTATCGAATATATCTAGGGGGCTCTGCACAGCTCATTCTTCTACATAAATGAATCTTTATTAAGACAATTGTTTGCATCTAGTCAGTTATTGCAAATGTCTTGGAAATGTTAAAAGTCATTGTTTTATCCATGTGTTTAAGAAAGTCAATAATTTTAAATGTAATGTAGTTTTAAATTTAATTTAAATTTAAATATGATGTAGTTTTTTATTAATCTTGCAGTAGTGATTTTCATACAAACTAAAATTGGATTATCTTGAACTCCAAGGTAATGAACATTGTATTAATGTTCTCTTGTACTTGCTGCTCTTCTTTGAGAAATGTAAAATCAAACCATCAAAGTTCATTTCAGAGATAATGAACAGTCAAGTAGGAGTAATGTAGAAAAGTTGTTTTGTGTTGATAAATATATATTATTCTATTTCAATTCCCTTCATACATTTATTGAGAAAATTAAACTGTTGAGTGCCAGACACTGGTTAAGGCCTGATTACAGCCCTATGCAAGACAGTCTAATAATTAAAATAAATGGGTACCAATTACCAAGATACATCGCAGCCACCGAAATCCTTTATGATAGCTCAAAGTCAGTTTTAACTATTTACCACCTAGACTTAGACCTACTAATTTCCATAACCTCAACAGTTTTCTTTGAACATCTTCAGATGGCTAAAGATATTTTAGACTACATTGCAAATAAAAAAAACATTTAAAAAAATTACACAAGTTTTTGATTCACTCATGACTATTGAAACACAAAGTGATCAATTAAACACATGCCCTTTGAATAAAGTAATGGACTCCATTTATGTTTTACATTTAATTCTGAGCGTTTTTAGAGCATTTTTTTTAATGTCACAGTCTGTCAATGGGACTGTGACTAACCCATTTTTCTAAGGATATGTATAGATATCCTTTGTAGATATAAGTATAGATACAGATATATTAAAAGTGAAAATGACAGACTTTATGGAAAGTGAAGAAAGAGGCATATACATAAGAAAGCAAAGCACGGAGAAAGACACTCCATAAACTGTGAAGAAGATCTGGGTACCAGGATCTGATTTTCACCTATAGAGCTCGGTTTTGGTGACCTAAAATAGGTCACCCTCCTCTCATTTTATAGTGCTCAGCTTAGGAAAAGAAAGGGCAGTTCATTGGCCCAAAGCTTCAGGTAATCATGTTTAGGGTCAGTCTTGAACATATCTGACCACCCTGGTCATGTCAAACACGAAAGGGGAGGGTGTCACTGGCATGACTTGTTCAAGTATGAAAGAATCTGGAACGTTGACATTCTATTAGTGACTGGTAGTCCCTTTCTCATTGTTCAGTCTGCCAAGGACCTCCAGCTCCTTGTTCCTCGGCATCTTTGTATAAATTTGGAGTATCCAAATAAAATGAAAAGAAAAGCATTTCACAAAATGTATAATCTTAGATGCTAAATCTACCAAAATAAATTAATTAAGACCCACTATAAGTGTATGAGTAAACTGAGTACAACATATAATCAGCAAGCTGATGTGATGGCTAAAGAGGTAAAGGAATTTGACTCTGAGCCTGACAACTTAAGTGCCATCTTCAGAAGCCACATGGGAGAAAGGGATGATTGGCAAACAGTTTGTAGCTTGTTGTACTATAAAATTGTGGAAACAATAATAAGCTGTTATTTTACAAACAGAGGCTAACAAAAGATATTAATGGCTCAATTTTTAATTCAACAGTTCCAAAAATGTTTATATAAGTAGTAATTATAAGTAAGAGAGCCATTGTTTTCAACAATTTTGCAGCCTAGAGAGAGTCAAATTTCATCACCAAGCATCGTGTCTTAGGGTTTTTATTGCTGTGAAGAAACACCAAAAGAAACTTAAAGTGAGGAAAGGATGTGTTTTACTTATACTTCTATATCACAGTTCATTGTTGAAAGAAGTCAGGACAGGCATTCAAGCAGGGCAGGAGCCTGGGGACAGGAGTTGATAGGGAGGCCATGAAGAGGTGCCTCTAACTGGCTTGCTCTTATGGCTTGTTTAGCCTGCTTTCTTATAGAACCCAGGACCACCAGCCCAGGGATGGCCCCACCCACAATGAGCTAGGCTCTCCCACAACATCAATGACTAATTATGAAAATGCTGTAGTCTGCTTGCTCCCCTACAGCTCAGTCTCCTGGAGGCATTTTCACAGTTGTGGTTCCCTCTTCTCAAGGGACTCCAGCTTATGTCAAGTTGACATAAAAGTAGCAGGTAAGGGAAGCTGCCTGCCCAGATTTCTCCACGAAGCAGAGAAATGTTGTAAGAAGGTAGAATGATTTTTTTCAAATACCAAGACTCAGTTAAGTCTTCTGGAGCGGAGAAGGCAGATAAACAAAGAGGTTATTATTATGCCATTCATAATTTTGCAGTATTTACATCAGACACCACAGTAAAACCTCTTCTCCTGCAACCCTAGCAGGTCACCCGTATTAATGAATTCCTGTTTGGGTCCACAGACCACAGGGGTACTTGAGTGAAAGCCAGACTAACCACGTGAATGTCAGACCATTTTCTGGTCACCAAAGGGAGTGGTGTCCACTTACAGACACACAGACACCACACAGGGCCCTGTCGTGTAGCATTCTTTCCCAAGGCTCCCGCATGCTCTTGGCAGCAACACACTCAGAATATTAAGTGTCTCTCTGCCTCCTTTTTTGCCCCTTTCAGAGAACTATGACATCTGCAATCCTAGCATTTGGGAAGTTAAGGCAAGAGGATTGCCATGTCTACACTATAAAAGAAGACCCTACCGCAAAATTACGACAAAACGTTAAGCTCACATGAGCGTTTTATATTTTGTTAGGCATGTCATACAAATATCTGTCTTTCAGAAGCAAGTAGCACTGATATGAATAGAGAGATAACAACATATGCATGAAACCTTCTTTTTGAAAATCAGAAGTCCTGTAATACAGCCCAGGCTGGCCTTGAACTCATGATCTCCTGCCTCAGCTCCTAAGCTATAAGAACAGAGAATTGCTGTACCAAGCCCAGTTCACACACTATTTTTATTAGAACTGTTTTCAATGGAATGATTCTAATTGTACTGGTGACCTTCCCTCTGGTACCTTGAAGGAAGACTTGGACCAACTCTGGAGCCCCTGCTCTGCCATAATACCATCTTCCTGTTCTGAGACCCTGTATAGCCTTGTGGGCTGGGTGAGATATCTACCTAGCTCAGCACTGCCAGCCCCTGTACCAAGCTATGCTTCTTTATTCCCCACACCCTTAGCAGCAAACCTGAATCCAAAGTGCCGTGATGCCACAGTCAACTTCCTGAGGTGTCTCTGCCCCCTCAGGAGTCTCTGTGTTCGACTCCAAGTACGATCAGAGACCATGTAGTTTCTTTGCCAGGCATATATGATATGCCCAATTTTGCTGCCTATCAAACAGGCGATCTGGACCAAGAAAGAGAGAGCAAAAGGCCTTATGCTTCCTAAGCTGCCTGCTTTGTGATCTACACCATGAGGTTTTTCTCTAGAAATCTTAGTGTTACTACTATGCTAACTTGCTGGATGCTCATATCTATGCTCACACCGTCCCAACACTCCTAAATATAACCATCCTGGTGCCATTAAACCTAAGTGAGTTCAGAAGGCACAATTCTATGCTGAGAGGCATGCTGGACCAGACAGAGACAAAATCTTTAAGTATTGTCATTTTAAAGGAATACGGTCCCGATTCCAGAACAGGGGAAAAAAAAGTCCATATATGAGTTTTCCCAAATTTATTTTGCATTAAAAGATACACTTTTACTTCTTGGCAGTGGCTCACGGTGCTTTCTTTCAGAGCTGCTGCTCACTGTTCTGTTTTTACAACAGGGATTTGGTTTTCTCTGGCTTCCTGGGACTCAGGACTCTGACGAACAGTCCCGGGACTCTTAAACAGTAGTCATTGGAGTTCAGACTAACTGCTTTCGCTCCCTTTTCTGGTCTCCAGGTCTGTCTGTCAAAACGAGCTAAACCCCAAGCAAATCATTCCATGGGGCCCCATAAAGCCACGTGAGAGCTAAGGCAGGAAGACTGTGGTTTCAGAAACCACTTTGATGGTACGAGAGTAATCTCTACAGCCCAGGGCCCTGAAGATCGTATTGCCAGAAGTACGGATATGTTAGCCCAGTTCCCTGCACACAAGCTCCTTCTTCCTCCTCCCCTTGCTTCCAAATAAATAGCTCTCTGGGACAGTGATGTCTACATCAAAAGCTCTTTGTCATTCAGTGGACTTCCCAGATGGGAAAGTGTTTGTTTTGGCTAAGAATGACAGTTTTCTCTGCATCCGGAGGTGGACTCTCTCGC